AGAAGGAAGATCTGTATACTTACCTGTTCTCAGAGAGCTCCAGTCTGGTGATGTTATCTCCCCATTAGCTGACTTCAGAGGAGAGGAGAGAGTGTCAACAATGGAAGAATGCCTGGGTACTGACAGCACCCATAGGCTTAGTTTGGGGCGTCCATGGTTGACTGTCCTTTTTCTCCCCTGAAGCCAGCTCTGCTGGGAGGCAGATGAAGTGACCAAACTGGAGCGCCCTGGGAATAGGTAAGTATAAGCATCTACCTTCCTTAATATAGGTATTAGAAGGGGGTGAAGCAGTTTTAAGCTTGGTTCTATCCTCGACCTCTACTTTAAAGCGCTAGATGCTGCTTGACATCCTACAGCCAGGAAATGAGGTGGGCTCTATCTGACTTGCACCAGTCTCTAATGCACACTTTGGGAAACTCACAGTGTATAGTAAAATCAGAGTACGTAATTTCAGGATGGGAGAGGATCCTGTATAATCGTAGAAGATTGAAGGTTAGGCTGGAGCTCACCTTTAGGGGTTCAATGGGTTTTAAATGGCTTCTGAGGGTTAGAAAAGCTCCTTCTAACTATCCTGGATCCTAAACATTAACCCCCCCCCCAGTCAACAAATCACCTATTCTTCTTCCCTTAAGTCCCCACCGATGTAAGTTTTACTGTTCTTCAGACCTAAGCCAGTGGTGGGTAGACCTGCATAATACAGGGAGCAGTGATGACGTTCTCTGCATTGGTATTCTGTGAATAAAGGACACAGTTGTACAATGGATATAAAAAGTCTACACATCCCTGGTAAAATGTCAGGTTTCTGTGATGTAAAAAAGTGAGACAAAAGACAAATCATTTCAGAACATTTTCCACCTATAATGTGACCTATAAACTGTACAACTCAATTGAAAACAAACTGAAATCTTTTAGGGGGGGGGGGGGGGAGTAAACATAAAAAACTAAAATAATGTGGTTGCATAAGTGTGCACACCCTCTTAAAACTGGGGATGTAGCTGTGTTCAGAATTAAGCAATCACATTCAAAATCATGTTAAATAGGAGTCAGTACACACCTGCTATCATTTAAAGTGCATTTGATTAACCCCAAATAAAGCTCAGCTGTTCTAGTAGGTCTTTCCTGACATTTTGTTAGTCACATCCTACAGCAAAAGCCATGGTCCGCAGAGAGCTTTCAAAGCATCAGAGGGATTTCATTGTTAACAGATATCAATCAGGAGAAGGGTACAAAAGAATTTCCAATGCATTAGATATACCATGGAACACAGTGAAGACAGTCATCATCAAGTGGAGAAAATATGGCACAACAAAGACATTACCAAGAACTGGACGTCCCTCAAACATTGATGAAAAGACGAGAAGAAAACTAGTCTGGGAGGCTGCCAAGAGGCCAACAGCAACATTAAAGGAGCTGCAGGAATATCTGGCAAGTACTGACTGTGTGGTACATGTGACAACAATCTCCCGTATTCTTCATATGTCTGGGCTATGGGGTAGAGTGGCAAGATGGAAGCCTTTTCTTACGAAGAAAAATATCCAAGCCCAATAAATGTTGCAAAAACACATTTGAAGTCACCCAAAAGCATGTGGGAAAATGTGTTATGGTCTGATGAAACCAAGGTTGAACTTTTTGGCCATGATTCCAAAAGATATGTTTGGCGCAAAAAACAACACTGCACCATCACCAAAAGAACACCATACCCACAGTGAAGCATGGTGATGGCAGCATCATGCTTTGAGGCTGTTTTCTTCAGCTGGAACTGAGGCTTTAGTCAAGGTAGAGGGAATTATGAACAGTTCCAAATACCAGTCAATATTGGCACAAAACCTTCAGGCTTCTGCTAGAAAGCTTATCATGAAAAGGAACTTCATCTTTCAGCATGACAACGACCCAAAGCATACATCCAAATCAATGAATGGCTTCACCAGAAGAAGATTCAAGTTTTGGAATGACCCAGCCAGAGCCCAGACCTGAATCCGATCGAAAATCTGTGGGTGATCTGAAGAGGGCTGTGCACAGGAGCTGCCCTCACAATCTGACAGATTTGGAGCGTTTTTGCAAGGAAGAGTGGACAAATATTTCCAAGTCAAGATGTGCCATGCTGATAGACTCATACCCAAAAAGACTGAATGCTGGAATAAAATCAAAAGGTGCTTTAACCGCTTGCCGCCCTGCCACTGTGTATATACGTGTGCAGGGCGGCAGTGGAGCGCAAAACCACATTTTAAAACGGGTTCCGCGCTCCCGACACTTTCGCTGGCAGGGGGACGCGCGCTGCGCGCGTGCTCCCGTCGACCCGCGGGTGACACGATTTGATCCAGGAGGGATCAATCATTAGATTTCAGCCAGTGATTTCTGGCTGAAATCACATGATCGGTCCCTGTCCTATCCTGTCCTGTGTTGACATATACACAGGGCAGGATATGATGTAATTCTTCTCTGCCTGGACACATTCCGTTCCAGACAGAGAAAGAAGACACAGTAAAAGTGAGTACACAAGCACTACACTACAGTTAGGACACACCTAGGACACATTTAACCCCCTGATCGCCCCCCCCCCCAGTTAACCCCTTCACTGCCCTGTCACCAGTGTCACTGATCAGTGAAGCGATTTTTACTGATCAGTGTCGCTGGCGACTTCCGATAGAGTTAGCGCCACTCCCCAGATAGCGCCAGTTTGCCCGCCAGTACACCAGTAATCCCGTTTTTAACCCCGCCAGTACGATCGCCCCCCCCCCCAGTTAACCCCTTCACTGCCCTGTCACCAGTGTCACTGATCAGTGAACCAATTTTTACTGATCACTGTATCAGTTGTCGCTGGCGACTTCCGATAGAGTTAGCGCCCCTCCCAGATAGCGCCAGATTGCCCGCTAATACACCAATAATCCTGTCTAACCCCTTGATCGCCCCCCCCTGAGTTGACCCCTTCACTGCCCTGTCACCAGTGTCATTGATCAGTGAACAGATTTTTACTGATCACTGTATCAGTGTCGCTGGCGACTTCCGATGGTGTTAGCACCCCTCCCAGATAGTGCCAGTTTGCCCGCTAGTGCACCAGAAATCCCATTTAACCCCTTGATCGCCCCCCCCCAGTTAACCCTTCACTGCCCTGTCACCAGTGTCATTGATTACAGTGAACAGATTTTTACTGATCACTGTATTAGTGTCACTGGTGACTTCCGATAGTGTTAGCGCCCCTCCTAGATAGCGCCAGTTTGCCCGCCAGTACACCAGTAATCCCATTTAACCCCTTAATCTCCCCCCCCAGTTAACCCCTTCACTGCCCTGTTACCAGTGTCACTGATCAGTGAACCGATTTTTTATTGATCACTGTATCAGTGTCGCTGGCGACTTCCGATAGTGTTAGCGCCCCTCCCAGATAGCGCCAGATTTCCCGCTAATACACCAATAATCCTGTCTAACCCCTTGATCGCCCCCCCCCTGAGTTGACCCCTTCACTGCCCTGTCACCAGTGTCATTGATCAGTGAACAGATTTTTATTGATCACTGTATCAGTGTCGCTGGCGACTTCCGATAGTGTTAGCACCCCTCCCAGATAGCGCAAAAAATAAAAAGCGCACAGGTGATCAAAAACCACCAAAAGAAAGCTCTATTTGTGTGAAAAAAAGGACGTAAATTTCGTTTGGGTACAGCATTGCATGACCGTGCAATTATCATTTGAATTAGTGCAGCGCTGTATAGCAAAAAAAGGCATAAATTACAGTATCTATACCATAGTTTGTAGATGCTATAACTTTCATACAAAGCAATCAATATACACTTATTGGGTTTTTTTATTTACCAAAAACATGTAGCAGAATACATTTTGGCTTAAATTTATGACTAACTTTGAGTTTACAATATATTTTTTATAGCTGAAAGTAGAAAATATTGTTTTTTTTCAAAATTTTCGTGGTTTTTTTGTTTATAGCGCAAAAAATAAAAAGCGCACAGGTGATCAAATACCACCAAAAGAAAGCTCTATTTGTGTGAAAAAAAGGACATAAATTTTGTTTGGGTACAGCATTGCATGACCGCGCAATTATCATTTGAATTAGTGCAGCGCCAAACAGCAAAAAAAGGCCTGGTCATTAAGGGGGTAAATCCTCTGGGGCTCAAGTGGTTAACAAAGTATTAGTTAAAGGGTGTGCACACTTATGCAACCATATTATTTTAGTTTTTTATTTTTACTTCTCTCCACCTAAAAGATTTCAGTTTGTTGTTCAACTGAGTTGTACAGTTTATAGGTCACATTAAAAGGTGAAAAAAGTTCTGACATTTTTTATCTTTGTTCCATTTTTTTTTACATCACAGAAACCTGACATTTTAACAGGGGTGTGTAGACTTTTTATATCCACTGTAACTTCCCTACAGGGAAAGGGCCCATAGCACAGGGCTTCATTTAACCTGGAAGCCCGAGTACATCTTGTATAAATACTGTGGGGGACAGCTCTAGACGTAATGTGAGTATTACAGCCAGAACTGAAGATTGTTGAGCAAGCTTTGCTCTTTAACCAAGAGAAGTTCAGCATCACAGGCAGCTGGGCAAGTATTAGTTGCTTAACAGTACAGAAATAGAGTTTAATAATTCAGAAGAGGGGTACACCATCTTCCTCTCTTCCAGCAGAGACAGGACCATCTGTCATCTGTATTAGTCTGTGACACATACTGCCAACAAGCATGCTTTCAAAACAGGGTGTCATGGATGCTCAAAACTAATGTTTATTTGTGAAACAAATATTAATTTACAGATTTTATTTTATATATATATATATATATATATATATATATATATATAATCAGTTTATAAACATTCACATTTTAAAAATGATGACCAAAAACAGTTATAGTGACTCTTCAAATAGGTCTCATGGATACACTCCCTATGTATAATAATCAAATAAGATATTACAAATGGTGAACAAACTGTGTCATGTTATATATTTTAATATTTAGTGAGTTTGTTTGTAACATCTATCTAACTTTACCATTTTTTACAGCTTCTCATGGGAATATTTCGACTGGGTTTTCTTTCCATATACTTGTCAGATTCAATGTTGGATGGATTTGCAACAGGTGCCTCACTGACAATTTTAACAGCACAAGTTAAATATCTCCTTGGAATAAAAATCCCACGCAGTCCGGGTATAGGGATGTTGGTAACAACATGGGTTAATATATTTAAAAATATTCACCACACTAATTTTTGTGATGTAATCACAAGTGCCATATGTATAGCAGTATTAGTGGCTGCGAAAGAACTCGGGGACCGTTACAAAGACAAAATAAAGATTCCCCTACCAACGGAACTAGTTGTAATTGTAGTTGCCACACTTGTGTCACACTACTGCAATCTTAATGAACTCTATGGTTCAAGTGTGTCAGGCGTAATCCCAACTGGATTTATACCACCAAAAGTACCTGATTTAAGTCTAGTGAGCAAAATAGCAGCGGATGCTATTCCTCTTGCAGTCGTTAGTTTTGCATTCACAATATCTCTGTCTGAAATGTTTGCCAAGAAGTATTCATACACAGTGGAAGCTAACCAGGAGATGTTTGCTATTGGTTTCTGCAATATAATCCCATCATTTTTCCACTGCTTTGCCACAAGTGCGGCACTTGCTAAGACACTTGTGAAGACTTCAACAGGATGCAAAACACAAGTTTCCAGTGTTGTTAGTGCCATTGTGGTTCTGTTGGTTTTGCTTTTCTTTGCCCCATTATTTCACTCACTACAAAAGTGTGTCTTGGCCTGTATAATAATTGTCAGCTTACGTGGTGCCCTTAGAAAATTTAGAGATTTACCAGCTCTGTGGCAGCTAAGCAAAACAGATGGAATTATCTGGATTGTCACTGTGGCTAGTTCAGCTCTGATCAGTACAGAGATGGGCCTCATGGTAGGAGTGATCTTTTCAATGATATGTGTCATTGTGCGGACTCAGATACCCCACACAGCCACGCTTAGCCAGATACAGGACACTGTCTTTTATGAAGATGGAGATAAATATGAGAATCTTTCACCCATAGCCAGAACTAAAATATTCCGCTTTGAAGCTCCCCTCTACTATGCAAACAAAGGCTACTTTCTCAAGTCTGTGTACAAAATGGCTGGCATGGATCCTGGTCTTGAAATAATCAGAAGGAAGAAAATGGAAAAGAAGCAGAAGAAACGAAAACAGGTAGAAGATGGAAAACGCATGGATAACAATGACAGCAATGATATTCATATACAGCTTGTAAATCACAACAGTGACTTGAAAACAATTATTGTTGATTGTTCCTCAATAACCTTTTTAGACACATCTGGCATCAATGCTTTAAAGGGATTGCTGAAGGATTACAAAGAAGTACAGATCGATATTCTACTGGCTTGCTGCAACACTACTGTTATCGATGCTCTTTGCAGAGGAAGTTACTTTGGGAAACAAAACCAGGACATTCGGAAGATGCTCTTTCACAGCATGCATGATGCTGTTCAGTTTGCAAGTGAGAAAGAGTTGACACGAATGGACTCCACTGTTTAAATACTGAAAAACATTTCTCACTATTTCGACATCAAAGTATTGACTTGAAAGTATTGGCAGTGAGACAGCTTAAAGGAGCTCTGTATCAAAACATTACACTCTAATCATACAGCAAATTAACAGGGGCTTCCCACAAGAAGCCCTTTCCTTTGGCAAAGAGGGACTTGGAAAACCTTAGGTCTCACTGTGTTCCTGCCACGTAAACGTAAAAAAACACATTCATTTTTAAAGTGACCCATCGCCAGAGGGCCACTTGAAAGTAAAAAAGACCTTCAGGGCTGCTGTTAAAACCACAGAGCCCCATACAGCTGACCTGACAGTTTACAGTGCTACAGTTATGAATGAACACAGTAAGTGATCGGTACCAATCACTCATTGTTTTCATTCTGGAAAGAAAGGGAATGGTAAATGTGACATCTTTACCAAACCCTTCCCCCACTTTCCATCCTGAAGGATCCTATTGTGTGCTTGCAGCTGCCAGTGGGAAGCAGAGGAGGGAAGCCAGAACCAGTGCGGGGGTGGGGGCCCACATGGGGGTCTGGGTAGCAGAGGGAAATGTATGGTGCATAGGGAGGGTGATGGGTGCAGTGTGAGTGGGGGGGGAGGGTAATTATAGGAACCAATTCCCTGTATGGCTATCTCTGCAGCTGGGAGGGAGAGGAGGAGAATACAGCTTTCAGATGCTGAAGGAAGAGCCATGCAGTGGATAATTTCCAGTAATTCCCAGCCCACACTCTTGCCATGCAGTGCTGTTCACCCTCTCTGCCATATCCAATTCACCCAGCTGCCTGGGCCCCCCTGCTGGCCTGGGCCCCGTGCAGGAGGACTGGTGATACCCCCCCTTATCCACAGCCCTGCCTGCTATACTTAACCTCCCAGCTGACGTTTCTTTTTTTTTTTTAACTTCTTCATGCCGGCCAAACGCAAATGTGCGGCTTCCCGGGGTCTGGGCCTAAACGCCAAGTGGCCGCACATTTGTGTTCTATTAAAAAGAACAGATGTGCTGAGAGCACGCGCCCTGCGCACTCCCAGCACACACATGTCCAGTACTCAATCAAAGGTCCCGATCTCCTCTTTTGATCGGGACCTTTCCCAATCACGTGACCCTAAACCCCGCCCCCCGGCTTCTGAAACCCTTAAAGGGCAGGAAGGCGCCGGAGTAAAGGTGTTAATCCACAGCTTCACTGCTCACTGGCTCCACTGGGGGAACCACAACAGGAGGGGAAACAGGTATTTTGTCCAGAGAGTAGTGAGCAGCAAAGTATGAGCTTGTCACCAAAGGGGCCGCCATAAAAGTAAGTGTAAGTGTATGTAGTCATATTTTGCACTGCAATCTTTAAAGGGTTACTAAACCCAGGACCCTGCATTAACTCTATCTGGTCTCCCCACAGTACACAGAACATGGAAATGCAATTATTTTAGTAAATATAAACTGCTAAATACCTTCTCTGCTAAATACCTTCTCTCATCAGCAGTTAGAGCAGTCGTGTGACTCCTATCAGTGTTCAGCTGAGCACATGCTAAAGCTTGTAGGAGGAGTTTTCTTTCTGCTCTAGGAGATGCAAAACCCCCGACCTCTGTCTGGACAGTGCTGATTGGCCCTGTGCTGATCACATGCACTCTCCCAAGTAAAAAAAAAAAAAACCTCTCTAGCAATACACACCAAACTGAGCATGTGCAGAGTGTCTCCACATGATATGTCTTATCAGGAGATAAAAGGGGGACACTGGAAGTAGGGGAGGATCAGATAAATCAGGATCAAAAAGCATTTTTACACAATGCAAAGGATTAACCTCTTAGGTTCCACAGTGAGTATAACAAGCATGCTTTACTGCATATACAGGCTGATTTTACTGCTGTGGGTTTAGTAACACTTTAAGAACATTTTTACAGCACTGTTCTAAGTGCCAGAAGATGCTGCTCAAGTGATCCACAACCGAAGAGGATGCTGCCATCTGAAATGCTCATTCCAGCAGCCTAACGAGTTATACAATAGAGAAGCGCAGCACACTGACAACTCATTGTAAATTAAATAGTAAAGAGAAGCTGCGTGGTCTCAGGAGGAGCTGAGGCTGCTCTTTACTATTTGAATTACACTGAGCTGTTAGTGTGCGGAGCCTCTATATTGTAGAGTTATCTTTTGCAGGTATGTTTTACATACACTCTGCTGACTTCACCTGTAAAGCTTTTTATATATCACTACTAAGAGATTTCTTTTTAATTTCTATGTATTCATAAAGTGAGTAGAAATCTCTGCATTGGAGACACAGGAAGCCTTTATAGCATTTTTTTTGGGTAGAGCAGGGAAAGATTAGAACCCCCGTCAGGTTTTTATGGTTGAACATGCCACCGCTAAGTAGAGTCCAGTCATACCGTTGCTATATCAGGTGCAATTTGGGAATTGAAATCGCACCTGAAATGGCATCTAATGAATGTGAATGTCAGTGTCTTAACGTTTGCAATTTGCTGCAGCGCAATTTCTAAAGTAGTTCTTGCATTATTACTTTTTTTGCAGTTCTGCTGCAATTTCACATACATAGAATATAATGGAAATCGCACTGCAAATTGCAAGAAATCCTTGAAAATCTTCACAAGTAGCAATAAAGTTAGAAATCGCACCTGAAATCTCTCTTAAATTGCACACAAAATGCAGCGGTGTGACCCGTGACTTAATTCTCTTCTTTCTTGGTCACTAGGACAGGAAAGAAAGTAAGGGTAAACCATCCAACAGTGACAGACAAAAAAGGGAAAATGTTCCCAATCCTGTCTCACTCTATCCACAACTAAAGAAAAATGTGGCTGGTGTTCCACTTTAAAGTTGTTGTGGAACTATCTCCAATTGTGTTACACTAAGGGCCAGTTCACACCACAAAAAACGCACTCCGGATGCATTCTGGATACGTTTTTGCTTAGAGCTTACACCACACGAAGTTCCAGTGCAGTTTTGATGCAGCTTGCTATGTTCCAGTATGGTTCTGTGCAGAAAAAATGCAGCATGTTCTACTATTTTTCTGCACTGACTGCACTAGTGTGAAGTAGGACCATTGGAATACATGGGAAACACTGTGCATGCATTTTTTTTAATGCAGAAAAAAAAACAAAAAAAAAAAACACTGGACTACATTTAGTGTGAACTAGCCCAAACATTATAGAAAAAGGTGTGTTACAATAATATGTAAAATACTATATGTAAACAAATATAGCACTTCCTGTTGATTGATTTTGGCATGTAATGTTCTTTTCAAAAGCTATTGACAAGTTGTCATTAAAGTGCTGTAAATAAATAGATATATTTAAACATGCTGTACAGTAAAATGAAGGCAAATATTTTTGTAGTTTTTTTCCAGCAGAAAAAAAGGATAATTGCACAAAATGCACCTAGTATCTAAAATACATTATTACAAGAGTATTGAATATATGAATAATATAGACATCTAACCAAGATGTGCACAGATTTAAAGTGCAGAGGCACAACTGGGAGACAGTTTTTACACTTGTGTAGATTTACCAAAATGGAGCACTCAGAATCTGAGCGGCTGTGCATCACAGCCAATCAGCTTCAAACCTCAGCTTGTTCAATGAAGCTTTGACAATAAAACCTGGAAGCTGATTGGTTTCTAAACAGCAGTTGCAGAACATTTTGCACTCTCCAGCTTTAGTAAAAAAAACCCCACTACAACTGGAAGTGTCCAAACAAGGACCTTCAGGGCAAGATTACCAGCTAATATTTTAATCAAAGCTGAAAGTTTAAAAAGAATGAAAACAACTTTTGGGATTACACTAAGAAGCTATAGCGAACATTAAATTTTAGGTATTGGGTTTACATCTGCTTTAAGGAGAACTCTGGTCAGGGCGAAAAACCTGTATCCTGGTACTGAATTACATTAATTGAATCTTGGTAGGTTTATATCCAAATTAAACTACCAACTGCCATTTTTGCTAACGCACCAGTATAAGGTTCCTTCATTTGAAAAATAAGTGACAGTTATCTTAAGCGGAGTCCAATAAGATTAGATCATTTCAGTCACATGGATGAAAATAAAGATCTTTACCATTTTGAATGGAGTCTAATAGATCTAAAATCAAAATATAGAAAAAGTAAATAGATATTCTTTTAAAGATTCTTTTAAATTATTTACCACAGAATTTTGTACATTTATTTTTGTACACAGAGGTTAATTTATATTGTGAATAAAATGGACACACTGATTTATGTGTATTTTATGCTTATCCTCTGCTTAGATTTGTTTGGGCATTCAGTTCCTTTTTTTACTGTAAGCGTTATGTACATTTTGGATGTATTTAATACTGTCTGCATAAAAACTCTTTGAACTAAATTTTGCCATGCAGAATGTAGGTTACATTTCCAAAAAAACACAGCATGCAAAAATTTCTTCCACTGCCTTTCAATGTATCTGAATCTGTATCATGGATTTTGAAAAGTACATGCTTCTGCTTAAACAGGAGAACACACAGAAATACAAGAATGTACACTTCATATCCTTGTCACAAATAAAATACTTTATTTTACTATTTATATTTCAATGTCATTTATTTAAAAGATTTTTATATAATCAGAGATAACAGTTGAACAAAAAGTCGTGACATAGTAAAACAGTCTCAATGCGATAAAGAGAACATGGGTTGAACAGAAAACTTTAGAGGCAATGCTTAAACCCCTGCCCAAAAGCAGAGTACATCACTTACACATGGTCAGAAACACCAAAAATAAAAGGGTGCTTAGTAATGCGCATCAGGTGGCCGAAGACCGGAGCATCCTAGAGTGAGATGAAAGCAAACCCAATCTAAAAAAAATTCACAGCAATAATGTATCAAATGTAGAGGACTAACCAGGGGCGGACTGACAACTCATGGGGCCCCCGGGCAACAGCCAAACCATGGGGCCCCCGGCAACAGCAAATCATGGGGCCCCTGTGTCCTTGCCCACACTCAAGCCACACCAAAAAAAGCCTATGAAAGGTACCAGGGGCAATCTCATG